GCGGGAAGGGGCGGGCAGCGCGCTCCTGCGGCGGCCGCGGCGGCCGTGCTCATCCCGGCGGCCCAGCGCGCGAGCGGACGCGGGGCTTCGCAAATGGCTTGTCCTGCGCTCGGTCTGGAAGCTCTGCAGCCCCTGCAGCCGGAGCCGCCCCCCGAGCCCGCCTTCTCCGAGGCGCAGAAGTGGATCGAGGTAGGTGCGGGTGGCCGGCTGCGGCCTCTGCAGGGCGCCGCGAGCGACCTGCCGGTGCGCTGGGACCGCAGCACCCCCCACCCCCCGCCGCTCCGGGTCAGCAGCCAGGGCCTCGGGCGAGCTGTGATCCCCTGGCATTTTGGCTTGAGAGCTGGGGCCGGCGCGGATGAGGGACATTGCGGTGTGGCTATACGCTTGGGGTGGGAAGGGAGTCCCTGCTCCTGCATCCCTTCCGCGCGACCCGCAAATCTCAGTTTCTGCCGCGTCCGGGCACCACCAAGGCGAGCGCGGTGAGAGCTGAAGCGCTGCAACGGCGCGGGAGCCCAAGCCCGCGAGTCCTGCGGGCGCCTCTTTTAGGGGCTGTCCCACATTCTGCTCCTGGCCTTGCTCCCCGCGCTCAGAGCACAGCTGCCAGTGTCTCCGCCAAGGTGCAAACGCGCCGGAGCCTCTCGCTGTAGCCCGGCACCGGCTCAAGTGGGAGGCTGGCGAGGTGCTCGGGGTGGGGGGAGCCTGCAGGAGCCACCTGCGAGCGCACCGCCCTCACAGACGCGGCCCGGAGGCAAAGGGTGGGCTGCGAGGGGCAGGGTGCCTGGCCCGGTCACTTCCTAAATGCCGCGGTGGCAGGCCGGGGAAATCACCGGAGCTCTGGCTCGGGCCAGGAGGTGCTCTCTGATCCTGATTCACGATGACTATCTGCAGACGAGCTCGGCAGCCCTGCGCTGCTGAAATGCCCTGTTGTGGCGGTCAGGACGCTTGGAGGGTGTGAGAGGGAGGGGTAGCCCCTGTGACCCTTGCGAGGAGTCTCTGCTTAAAAGAGAGGCCTTTCTCGGGCTTGGTAGCAGGTGAATGTGGCCCTCGGCCTAATAGGTGAAGGGAGGAAGTGCTCTGCTGCGTCCTGACAGGATGGTGAAGCCTGTTAGTGCCGGGACTGTCACTAAGTGATCCGCTCCTACCTCGGGGCACCACAGATCTCGGATGCGGCCAGGGTAGGGCTGGGTGACTGAGCTGCGAGGTTACGGACTTGAACCTGAGCCCTGCAGAAACCGGGCTCGCCCAGTGCCCCAGTCCCAGGCCTGCGCCTTTGCGCGGTTAACCTGCTCCGTGCGAGGAAGTGCTCCTTAGTTTAGCACTACTGTTCCTATTTAAAAAAACAGTGAAAAAAAAAAAATCCGAAGAATAAATCCGAAGTTCTATTGCTGAAAGCCCCGGCTTGCTCACCACCAGAGGAGAAACCCGTGTTGCCTTTTTGTTTTTGATTCGTGTCCAGAAGGCTCAGAGAGTGACAGGTGCTGCGTGCCTAGGCTCCAGACTGCCTGGGAGGACTTGGCGCTTGCTCACCTAGGCAGAGCCCCGCGGTTGGGCTCGGTCAGGTTCTTGAACTTGAACATTTTCAGGAGAGATTTGGGATGTGGGAGGGGGCCAGCAGGGGTATAAGAGCAGAAACAGCTTCCGTGTTCCTGAGGGCCAGTGATTGGTCTCCGGGTTTCCTTAATGGTAAGCAGCCTGGACACACTCAGTTTTAAAAGGCGTACTGTGTTATGAATTACATACAGGACGGTGCACAGGTCCGAAGTGTGCACCTCCATGCGTTCTGGCACCAGTATTCTACTACAGCCCCTACCTAGGTTATGAGACAAAATGCCTCCCAGGTACGGTCTGCTTTCGAGTATTGCTGTATTCCAGGTTAAATAAGTTGCAGTACAGAACATCAGATTTTTATATCAGGCTTAAGAAAAAAAAGAAGAGGCTCCAGAGAAAGTAGGGTCCCTTTAGGCTCTAAAGAAAGTGCGGTATTATTCTTGTTTTTGTTTTTTTACCAGGAGTAGAACTCAGGGCCTTTTGCTTGCCAGGCAGGTGCTGTACCGCTGGGCTACATCCCAGCGCAATTTGGTATTACTCTTGATAATTTGCCATTTATACCAGCTGAAGAAGGTAGAAACCCCCAAGCACTAGCTTTTGTGGCTATAGGACCAGGCAGCATGTGTGCATTATTGAAGTAGGCCTATCTTCTTTCAATTTCGGAGTTTGATTTCATGGAAAGGAGAGCTTCCTCCGCCCTCCTCCAGGGTATGTAAAAAGGGTATTTGCTCCTGGAAAAAATAGAGACCTTTCCTTTATTCCCAAAGGTTCCTCTTGAAATGTAAATGTCTTGTCTGCAAACCCGAGAACCCAAGGGTAGTAACAGATGGTTTTGCACGCAGTTGCCCTATGAGCAAAGATTCCTTGGCTAATATAGCAATAGTGTAATACTTGGTGTGAGCCCAGTTCCTTAGGGATTCTTATCTGGAGACAATTGCATCTCCGTTTGGGGCCCCATTGTATTTGGCAACATCCTCATTGGTTAGGGCTTTGTTTTTCTCTTTTGTTCAGTTGTTGATTAAATTTCCCACAGGCTTTTTTTTTTTTTTTTTTTTGGTCAGGAATTTCATCCTTTCTGAAAAATGCTCCCTTGTGGTGTACAGCAGGTTAATAAACAAACTTTGCCACTTGTCTTTCTTCCTCAGTTCCTGGTTTCCTTGAGTCAGGGGTTGGCTTGAAAAATCTTCATTCTTCACAAAGACTCAAGGAAAAAGCTCTAGGACATAATTTCTTCATGAGGAATTTCTCAGCCTTGGCAGTTGTAGGAGTGTGTTACCAGCAGGAAATGTGGCCTGGGAACAGGCTCCAGCCTTGTCCTACCCCCTACTTCTGCCTTTGCTGGCAAAGGTGAAAGCTGTAGTGGCCACAGACCATGTGGGGACAGCTGAGTAATGCTTCCAGGGACTTTTTATAGCTGCAGGAGCAAGCCGCATGTCTTACTGTGGGTCTAGGGAGGCTACTATAGGGAACTTCAAATTTTAAGTATGATTGGCTGCTGTCAGACTGGGGCATGGCTAATTGCCTTCCACATTCCTTTGCTAGAAAGTTTTCCTAAGCAAGGGGCAGCTAAGTGTAGAATGGTGGCTAAGAAATCCATTTTTGGAACTTGGGGGGTCACAGGTTTGAGCCCTGGAGTCACCTTGTAGGTGGGTGCCATGGGACAAGCTGCTCTTCCTGTCCTCGTGGTTCCAACTGTTTTCTCTGAAACGTCTCTAGTTGTTAACAACACAAATAACGAACTGATATTGTTGAAAAGTCTGTAAACCAGGATATTGATAATAACTCACCTACCTTATAGGAGTGTTGTGTGGGTTTAGGATGTTAATCTATTTATCATGCTTGTATATTGGCTAGTACCTAGGAAGTACTATGCAAATGATGGTTAGTATTATCATCACAAATATTATTACAGCATTGCTATTGTTCTTACTCTCATTATTTCTGCCACTCTTATTGCTGCTGTTATGCTTCTTAATAACAGCTAAGCCGAACTTTGAAAGAAACACTTTAGAATCCTGTTTTCAGAGTATAAAATATAACTCAATTACCAACAGATTTCATTCTAATATTACTCATTCATTCATTTGATAGAGTCCAGGATCTGTGTAGTACTAAGTTATACCCCCAGCCTGTCTGTCTCCTATTAACTTTGGCTATTTGGACTAGAAGTAGATGCTACACGTTACTCTAATTTGTGCTTAAGTGATTTGGGGGCCAGGAGAAAAACTTTGATAATCTCTTCCTAAGATGATTCCACTAGCCCAGCATGGTTTAGGAAAGTTTCCTCCAGTAGTATGTTGGATATTGAAATTTAATATATAGTTTTCATTATTAGATCCCAAGCTCAGCACTCTCATGCCTTTCTTCTTGCAGACAATCCAATATTAAGTTATTATACAAATAGTGTTCAAATATTCATCTCAATTGCAGCAGTGTTTTGTTCACTGAAGATATGTCAAGTCCTGCTAGAAAACAAGAATAATTCCTCTGTAATTTTTCCTTCCGCTTTCCTCCCTTCTCTTCTGATTTACAGTTGTTTGTTAGTAGGTAGATGATTGTAACTTTCTTGGCTCCCCCCCACCTCTGTGTCTCCACCCATGACAATATTAATCAGTTCTAATCTGTAGTTCTTCTCTTCAGTGCCAAACCCTTTCTGGAGGAACAGATGTCCCTTCAGCTTGGTTTCAGTTGTGATTTGGAACAAGTTGCCAAGCCTTTAGGGAGGGGCTAGAGATTTCAACCCAACTCAGCTTCACTTCTCAATCTGAGAACTTTCTGGATGCCTTTCACTTTAATCATGTCATGCCCATGGGACTTAATGATAAAGACAGTCGCATTTATGACCTAATCTATATTGCGAAGAAGTGGGAAGTAGGTTTGGAAGAGTTCAGTTCATCATTGTGGTTCACTTCTGCAAACCCATGTAGAATTTTTTGGTTCAACTTAGGAACTGAATTAAAAGCACTGAGGGTAGCTTAGTTATTCAAGACAGAATGACATTGTACTACTTGGCAGTTGGGAAGCTTTATGAGTTGTCTTTGAGATAAACTAGCATTTGGTGGTCAGTAACACAGGGCACAATATATCAGTTGTATAGTCATTCATCATCCTAATTCTCCACCTCCACAGAGTGGAGACATGGATTTATTTATTTATTTATTTACTTATTTGTTTCGAGCCAAGGTCTCACTGTGTAGCCCATGCAGGCCTTGAATTTATGACCATCTTGCCTCAGCTGCCTTAATTCTGGGATAATAGGAAAGTGCCGCAACACCTACTTTACATCTCTTTAAAATCACAGCCAAGATTTAACTTTGCAAATAGTCCTCCGGCTCTGCTTTGGAGAGATGAAGAAGAGGAAGGAAAACTTCTGTGGGTGGATCAAGCAAGGAGTAGTAATCTGAATAGATGTGCGCATTGGAGAAAGCAGCCCCTTTCTCACAATGACATTGAAATAGCCTGGCTTGTTTGTATACAAGTGCTGCTATGACACAGTGCTGTCACATGCCGGGAAAACAGTGAAGTCCCACAGATTTGGGGAGAGAGGAAGCAGCCCTGGAGGTGGAGCCCTACTTCTTGCCCCAGCATCTCCCTGGAAACCAATTGCATCAAGCATGTCCTAAATGGGCGGACTGAGCACT